AGGTACAGACATGAGCACACGCACAAAAACTGAAATGAGCCCATAATGACCAGAGTAACATGATAGATATTTTTTCAAGACTGACTACTTGTTTAATTACTATAAAACATTAGAGTGTCTAGAGGTATCAGACACTTAAATTTAATGTTTTTTAAAAACCTTTTAATGTTAATTTTTTTAAATAAATTCACCTTTTATATTCAAACACTGCTGGTAAGTATCAAGGTAAGTATCCTGTGCAGAGGTAGGTTTAAAGTAGTAATATAGTTATTAGAGTGAGTTAGGTTTAACTACACTTTTCAAACAGATACGTGCAAGTATGTAGTAAAAAGACAGTATTAGATTCAGTAGTAGGTTCAAAGATTTATAACATCAGTAATGTGGACTTTCACGCAAAGAGATTCTTGTTTTGACAAAAATAAATTAAAATATGGATAAATAAAATTAGGTGAAATGTTTGTGTCATTTAAAACCTCACGGATATTAAAATTTAATTTAAGACTATTAAAGCATAATATTTACAAGACTTTAAGACATTTTGCGACTCTTTATGGACCTGCAGACACCCTGGTAATGGGTGATTATAATTACTGATGGTCTATTATATGGGTATTATAATACATCCTTCTTTCACTCTACTGATTTTAGACCTTAAACTCTATTTCCTCATTTTGTTTTTAACTTTGACAAAATTATTGTTTTTATTGTTAAGTTATAACGTTCATTAATGATTAGATCCTGTTTTTGCGTTGAAGCCCACTGCTGTATTTTAAATTGTATGTTACTACATCGCTTTGTATCGTATGTTGCTGTGCACATAATGATCTAAAGCAGGTGATCAGTTCTCACAAAGGTAACTTTCCCATTCAAGTGCAGACAATGCAGGGAAGTTACAAACACCGAAACAGGAAGTAAAACAGCATTAGTGTACATGCAGATAACAGTAATAAGGTTTTGACCTTGGTCATGTTGTATTTGAAGCCAAAACAACATTAGAACATTTCTCAGTTCACTTTCACTATGGCTGCCCACACTGTACCCTAACAGCCAGCAGGCATGTAGCACCTGGTGATGTCGTAGACATGTAGTGACTGCTCTTTACAAACTTAATATAAGGCAACTGCATTATGAGGCTTCCATAATATCTATATGTACCACTATTTACCACCATTTGTGCTAAGAACAAGGCTGCTACTTCCATTTCCTCCAAAACTCTGTCAAGCAACTCACCTAAAGGAGTTATCCCGTAAAACTCTGCTTCATGCCGCAGGACGCTGATGTTGACACCCCTGCAGGGAGAGAACAAGCAGAGGTATTCAGTAAGACTCTGGTTACAATTCAACATAATGTCTTCTTAATATAAACACTCAGGGATATTTTCTGAATGGTGTCATGACTCCTTCCTTACCGCAGGTCCAATTCTTTGGTTCGAAGGAAATTCAAAATTGGTGCAAAAGCTGTAGGGTCTCTGTCAATGAATATCTAGAAGTGGAGGAACAAATATTATAATAGGAATGCAGGGTTTAATCAACCACTTAAAGACAAGTAATTGTTTTCAAATCACCATGGCATTTTTTTAAAAACTAATTTCTAATACTTGAAGTCACTAAAAAATAATTGGAATATGAAGCTGTTATTTAAAATGATCATTAGCTGTAGCCCTGCACTGAACAGCACACTGTCTAACAACTGGAGAGTGGATGAAATTAAATGATGAAACACTGCCTGTGTGGTGTGGACCACAGATATGGTCTAATATTGTCTCAAATGATATGATATGTCCTCTTGATCTTGCACATATAATCTTACAAATGGCAGGTCCTGTCTGCTGGAAGCTTTTGGAAAATTTCAGATGCCAGCAGATATCGTTTTTGAATAAGAAGGAAAAAACGCTATACTCACAGCTCCAGTTTCATCCCGAAGAGTGGATATCCTTCCACTCAGCAAACTGGAAAAGACACACACACACAGTGCTCCACTTAACTAAAGACTTCTCAATTTCCCCTCACTAGCTGTGTTACACTACCTGAACTAAACACACAAACAGTTTGCACAGTGACTCTTACCTGTTGAACTACAGATTACTGCTGCATCAGCATGTGCTGCATGTGTGTGTGTGTGTGTGAAGAATGACTTTATACTGACTGCAGACAGCTGGGGACAGAGAGACTGACAGACAGGCAGGCAGGCAGACAGGTGCACTGGCAGACAGTCTGACAGGCATTCAGCACTACTTGGTCAGCTGTTGTCACACTGTGAGCTCAGCCCAGTGTTTGAGTTTGTTCTGACTTTGGTATTTGCCCAGCCCTGATCAGCTGTTCCTCTTTAACAGTGGATTACACTCACATTTAAATAACTCTCTAGATACATGTGAAAACATTCACATAAGCCCAGACAAATATACTTACTCCAAACATTGTAATAACAGTTTCCAAACCCCTAGAAATCTTAAAGCAAGGGATGACTGTCAGTGTTCACATTGAATACTGGATGAATACACTTGCCTCACTTAATGAAAGTAATTTATCTGACTTGATATTCCTTCTCCTAATCATAGCCCTCAGTATGCATAATCCCCTGACATCCTCCATCACCAGAATGGTAGACGTAAGACGCAAAACAGAGACAAGACAATGAACGTCACTACATAACATTAATTATGTAATACACATGTTGTTTTACGGGGTTGCAAGAGCACTACAGCACGCTCACTGAGTCTTTGACCTCTTTCTGGGAGAATTCCTAAACGCTGTAGCAACAGTCCTAGTACAGTCTCATTAGCCTAATTTCAGGGGGCGTCTAGACAAATTAAATTTATTGCATTTGAGTACGGTCAGGTTTAAGCCTGCCTTGAAATATGTGCAGTGCGAGTTACAACGTTACTGTGGTTATGCAGACACATTCAGTCATACACAGCCAAATGTTCCTCGTAATGCAAACCCTCTAACAGTACATTGAAGCTGGCAATATTTCCAATGATTCTCAAGTTGCACAAACAGTACACATCTATTCTATGCAGAGAGTCCAAATGCTGACAACAGTAAACCAACCTTGAGAAAAAAGAGTCAGGGATCCACATCAGAGTCTGTCTGGAGGTGCTGAACCTGAAGTGTAAAGACACAATAGTGTGATTATTACAAACACTTTGTGAAAATGTAGGGTCAATCATGGGCATGACAATGGTAGATGGTAGAGGCATGCTGTTAATGCTGCTTGCTGAGGAAATTCATCAAGAAACCCTAGTGTGTGTGTGTGTGTGTGTGTGTGTGTGTGTGTGTGTGTGACAGAGATAAGAAGAAGAGTAGTTACTGACAAAGTAAACAACCCTGAGTGGTGTATCTAACTTACTTCAGCAACACCATACACGTCTGTAGCCATAGCTCAAATGCCCCCTATGACAACCATCATGTCGCAGGCTGTCCTGTTGACGAAGCTTACCTCGTCCCCCCGACGTTCAGCTGGATGATTTCTCCCATCCCAGGCGTTAAGTTGTTACCGTTCGTAGCCATGATGACCGAGCCAACGGGTCGCTGTACTCACTGTTCCGTTATAAGTGTTCCTGTCACCACAGCTAGCTTGCTAACGCTCCTCTCCTCAGCTCAGCCAATGTCCCGACTCCCCAGCCTCACAACCTCGTCCCACCTTCCATAAAATACCCGTTATACGCGACCTATACGGGCGACGTCGGTGTTGTTTGGCCTCCGCATAGTGGGCGAAGAGAGACAGGGGCCCTTTTTATCCAAAAGGCGGCCACACAAGAATCCCTTTATTTTCCAGCGGGCTTGTTTGCATCGCTGCCCTGCGTGTAAATCGTGGATAACATCTTGCGCAGAATATTAGCAACGTGAAACAGCTGTACAAAGACTGTGCAAGCGAGGCGAGAGTGTTCACCGCCGATCACTTCCGGCTTCGCTTTAACAACGTAGGAGTTGTTAAAACGAGATGTTTAAAATCTAAATATTGAGACTGGTATAGTAAGTTTAGAGCAAGTATATTGTCAAAGCTTGGTTACAGAGGGATTTATTGACGTATTTTATCACTAATATTGAAACACTATCTGGAATTAGCCTACGTAGCTTTTGCACTAGCCACTCCGGACATTTAATTAGGGCTAAACGAACTAATCAAACATATTCAACTTTATTTATTTTATGTGAGACAACGGGATGTACTAAAACGTTAGCGAAAGGGGGTTTAATGTGATTGAGTATGAAGCAATGAGTGATAAAACTAAAATGGCTACAACATTTTTTATAAAACAGAGATGAATCCTGGATCAGTATTCGCTTTAAAAAAATTCAATAAATGCAGTGGGATGGATTTTCTGTTAAGATTTGATTTCTTATAATGCAAATCTACGCTTAAAACTGTCTAAATTATTTAATGAGTAATGTTAGGTCTTCTGGTCAACAGCCAACAGGATTTTCCATTAAATTGTGGATTATTAAAGAAAATAAGATCTGTGTTGAACAAATGTTTATGATATTTACATGTTTTTTTCAGCATGATAATCTTTACAAGGGATGACGACTTTTTAAAATATTTTTTAAGTATTAATACAATTGTCAGAAGTATAAAGCTAACCTTAAGCACTGAACGAACTACACCACCGTCGCATGACTCAACGTCACCAGCACAAGGAGGCTGCAAAGCCGTGTTCGGCATGATGACGTTTTATAGTTTCTTTGAGCAACTTTTTAGCAACTGCGTTTTTTAAGACACATAAACACTCAATGACGCATTTATGTCGTAGAACAATACGTGAAAATATCCCAAGCTTGTGTTGACCACAGGCATCTATACAAAAGCTCATTTAACATCAACTAACACGCTTTAGAGAGGGACCCGCCCCACTCTGTCTTACTTTGTCTCTGATTGGCTTACCCTGAGATTCTTACTCAACTCTAACCAATCCAACAACGAAGGCAACGAGTACTAGCCAACCAGGGGGCGAGTAGGGTGGGTCAAGCCGTCGCTAACCAAAAAAACGAAAATGACAATCGTGCGCACGTGTTACGGCATGACGCACAGATTGTGCATACGGATGTAAACACTATTCGGTTCATGAGGAGGGAAAACCGAACATGGCACCGAAGCTGGAGCGTTTTGTCAGTCCGGGTAAAGGCAACGGTCTGCGCGCAACAGCCAGGATCAAGAAGGGAGAGCTGGTGTACTCCGCCGAGCCGCTGGCCTGCTGTGTGTCCGGTAAACTGGCCAGAGATGTCTGCCACCACTGCTTCACACGGTGAGACAGGCGATACTCATCAGCATCCTGCTGTCAAAAGAAAAAGCTCTTGGTAGTTTAATATTCAGCGTACGTTAGGCTACAGTGAGGGAGGTGGACTGAAGGTAGTGTGGTGAATACGGACATGTTTGGCTCATGTTTGAGTTGATAACGTATATATAATTCACACCACACTCACGTTGTTTGATATTTTCGCTCTTCATTCTCTGTCAGTTTGAATGTGCACCATGCTCTTTATAGTCTGGTATAGGTGTGTGGTTGACTGTGTGTGTGTTTCCTCCAGCTAATGAGTTTATATAGAGTTGTGGTGGTATTTCATTGCAGGCCACCTAAAATGCACATTGGTACATGCAACTCAGTTCTTCGTCACTAGATGGCAGCATTGCTCCTTCATGGTTTCAGAGGTGGCAGGCTTTACAACTGTCAGCCGTAGAGCTTACACACTGTTGCACTTGTAAATATGATAAAGGCTTGCAGACCTCAGTGTGAACAGTGTTTCTGGCCAGACACGGGTGTCAGGCTTATTGTGGTGAAAAGTAGCTCTCAGTGAAATTGACTGTCATCAGTATGAATGTAGAGATTGCTTAGAAAACAATTCCTGCTCTATTTAGGTAATGTAGAAGGGCTGGGTGCAAGGCCAAAACAGGTTCACTGTGTGGCTGTTGGATTATGGTGATTTAACTGTAACATTGTGTGGGTGCATGGGATTATGCATGAGTAATTAAAACACAGTATCGACTGATATAGGCCTTGAAGGCATACTTCACCCACAAAATGACCATTTGTACAGTATGTCAGTCATGTCATGTTACCTTGAATTCATGAGGAAAGCTTTTTTTCTCACATGCCTCCATGGAAAACAGCAAACATATTGATTGACTGGGGGACCACATTTAACAACAGCAAAACTACGTCAAAACATGGGTTTATTAACTTAGACACAACTTGTGAAGTAGTATGCTCACTGCTTCCCAAACACATGTATTTCCACCTAAAAAAAACACTGAACATTGAAGTCTGGGTTTGAGGGGAGCCTAGATAAGTCACTTTGTTCTGGCAGGTGGGCAGTGCTTGGTTTTGGCCCAATTGTTTTTAATGTGGATCACAAACTTTCTCATTTTACAGCTAAACAGTACACTAAATTATGTTTCCGAAAACCTTTGAGACGAGACACAGGAAACAGAATCTTGATTCATATTTGATCAGCACTGCCCAGTTCAACATATTATCTGTCTCATGTACTACTGTCTGGATATAGAGACAGTTTCAGCAAATATGTTATTAGCAATAGTTATGTTTTATAAAAAGTTACCAGCTGTAGCTTTAATGCAATTCCTCAAATCATTGATAAGGACCTCATTCTGGGAGTATTTGTTTTTAAAAAAATAATTTTTCATATATTTCTGATGTGATATCATTGGAATATAAAGTAACATTATTTGTCCGGCATTTATTTTGTTGGATCATTCGGATGTGCGTTCTTGTGTGGTTATTTATCTGTAAACTGCTTCTTAATTGACTTCATCCTTCTTGTAGCAGTGATGTACTGCGTAGCCATTTTCTGTATTGATGAGAGGATTCGTCCTCTGTTTCATCTCATTTGCTTGTGATATTTGTCCAGCTGGATGCTTAATAGCAGCACTGCGGCTTCCTCTACCGTAGCCAAACCCACTTCATCAAGCTAAACACATGTATGTGAATTCGATGAGACAGGTAAGGACAGTAACAGAGTATACGCCGATTTCTGTTGCAGAAACTCCAAGGTGAATGAAGGGTGAATAACTGTGGGATATATACAGTATGTATATGAGCCTCTGAAGCAAGTGGAAGATGATTAATGAGAGCAGTTAATGGAGATAGCCTCTAGGAGAAGGAGGAGATGTAGGCTAGTTCATGTCCAGTTTTGATTTCCATATGAAGGTAAAATTTATTAGAAAGCCTGATCAGTTCAGCAGCAGCTGCTCACTCTTTAATGTCTCCTCTTACTCATTAAGAAAGGATCATCCCATCACTCCTTACACTGTGTAGTTTGGTGCAGTGTGGTGTGCCTTCTGTGAACACTTGGACTATTAGTCAGGGCGGTAGAAAATTTTGAAGGTTCGGCAAAAACACACCCCTTGATCTGTACTTTAAGGCACAGGAGAGAGAGAAGAAATTAAAGAGGATGAATGTTAATGAGACAAAGTGAAGGTGAGGATCCTGAAACTGGGATTTGCAATGAGAAAACAGAAAGAGAGACACAGATAGGGCATTAAAGAGAGAATATATTCATATTTGACATTTCTATGTATTATAGATTATAGATGTGATAATGTTTTGTGCTTCTCACTTGTGCTCAAACAGCTTAACTTGAAGGTTAAGAGCGTAAGATTTAAGGGGATTTAGTGGCATCTAGCAACCAGCTGAAACACCTGGTCAGAATTCCCTCAGTGTTCATTGTTGAGGAGGTTTTCACAGGGAGCCGAATCATCTGCTGAGGTCTCTTCCTGTCCAAAACAAACAGACCTGGTGATTGAAACAGGTAAAAACACTGACTAAAGCAGTTATACATTTCAAATTAGTGTTTTTCTGATGCTGCTCGTAGTAGATGGGCTTCACACTAAGTTGGCTGGCGTGAAAACCTGAATGAAAACTGAGCTTTGGTGGTCGTATTCAAAAGCAAGCATATTCCCTTAGGATAGCTCATTGTGTTTATGTTTACTGCATGTGTATGTACATGTTTTGTTGGTCGTTAGTGCATATACATTATGTTGGAGCAGATTATGTACTGGGTAGATGAATTAAAAAAACAAACAAAAAACAAGCGCACATTAAGGCACTTATGTCATTTGGCACACTGCTGGGTAAACAGAGCTGTAAAGACTACACGGAATAGAAATAATAACCCCTTCACTGGGTTTCTATTGCATTACTGTTTCTGTGGGCAAACAACATGTCTTCGTAACCAAAGTACAGTCTGTAGTAATTCAACAGCATCCCCGGTCAGCACTCAGTCCATGTAGCTCTGAAGAACATCCACTCATTCCACCGATGATGAAGTTGCTGCATGCTTCACCCTCAGCTTTGTGGACAGCAGTAGAAGACTATGCTAGCTGCTGTGTGTGCGTTTCCTCTCTCAATCACTGCAACGTAAGCCCAGTCACTTTGTTTGGCTAAAGAATAGCTAACAAATGCCCTGCAGGGATGTAAATGTGGAGAATTGCTGCTACATGAAGTAACAGCAGGGCAGTATTGTTTATTCTATGTAATTTGAATTTATTCCTCCAGCTGCTCCATGCACAGACTGTCAGTCATTATAGTGTGAGGCAAGATGAGTATGTATCAGATGTGTACTTGGGTTTGCATGTGTAATTGTGTATGACATGAATGAATCTGTGGGTCTGAAATAGTCTTGAATATTATGTAGGCAAAAATCTTTCATATACTCCCATTACTGACTGTTTTTTTTTTGTTAGGGCTGGGCAATATATCAATATTATATCAATATTATAAGACAAGCTATTGTCTTAGATTTTGGATATTTTAATAATGGTAAGTGTTGTCTTTTCTGTTTTTTTAAAGGCTGCATTACAGTAAAGTGATGTAATTTTCTGAACTTAGACTGTTACAGCTGTTCTATTATTTGCCTTTATTGACGTAGTCATGACTGTATATCCACATTACCAATGATAATTTATCAAAAACATCATTATGTATATATTTTATGAAAGCACCAATAGCCAACCCTACAATATTGTCACAATATCGATATCAAGGCACTGGTAAAAAATATTGTGGTGTTTAATTTTCTCCGTATCGGCCAGCCCTATTTTAAGTTCCTACAATGCCAGGTTGTCATAATGCCCTTTGTTGTGCTGACATGGTTTTTAAAAGTTTCTCAAACATTATGAATATGGAGCTGGCCATAGGTTCAGCTGATAACTCCAAGCTGTTGTTTGGTTGTTTAGTTGCCTCAGTCTGTCTGATTGTAACGTGACATTGTTACAATTCATATTCAGCCATCAGGGTTTGAGGATTGGCTCTGTCTATCTGTCTGTCTGTCTGCCACTTTGGTCCAGACTGAAATACCTCTCACACTCAGTTTTAGGACTGCTGGCTACAAGCCTTAACATTGTAACTTGACATTTATTCAATATCTTAAAAAACATCGACACCCTCTCACACAGGAAGATAGGCTTATAATAACAGAAATCAATAATAAATTAGAGCGTTTGTGCCTCCACCAAATTCCATTATTTTTTAAGTGCTTGGGGTAAAAAGAGGCAAGTGTGTGAGTGTGTGTGTGTGTGTGTGTGTGTGTGAGTGTGCATGCATGTGTGTGGAATAAGACAGGCCATGTTGTGCAGAGTATGATCATGTTTTTGAGGCACTGAGTAAGTGTCATGGCTACATCTGCTTGCCTTGTGGCCAGTGCTCATCAGCCTGAGTGTCAGAGTGTCTTTGCACATCTTTTATTGATTTGATATCAGTGGGAGAGCTGTAAGTTCTGTTGGTGCCACAGAAACAGTTGTAAAACATTTGACTTGAACACATGTACATGCACACACGCACACACACACACACACACACACACACACACACACACACACAAGCAGCTCAAGACAAAGAGATTGGTCTCAGAGATGTGAAGTGCATTTTCCTGTTCTCACTAAAGCACAATTAGTCTCACAGCATGACTGTGTGTCGAAGAATGTGTGTGCGGATGTATTTTTGTACCTGTATCTCAAGAACAGAGAGTGTACTGTGTGTTTGAATGCATGCGTTTTTGGTGCGTGTGTGTGTGTGTGTGTGCCTGTGTGTGCAGGAAATGAGCAGGTGGGGAGGGGGGGGGGCATCAAAGCTGAGGTTAATTACAGGCCTTGAAGGCTGTATGTAAATAATGACTGATAAACGCTGAAGGAGAACACACAGACACACACACACACACACACACACCTCAGCAGGATTCAAATCGCCATAGGGTCAACAAACAAACAGCTATTAGAGGTTCTCAGACTCAG